TTCCATTTTCAAATAGTTCAGATTGACGATCAATCCCTACCACGGGCGATGTATATATTATTAGAAAAATAGGCTGAGATCAAGAGGGGGGGTGAATTGATCTTTGAAAGATTTTTGCACTTTCTTGATACAAATTATCTATTTCAAATATTGAGTTCTGATCACTTTTTGAATCAAGAAAAATAAGCAATTCAGTATAGAGCAGCAACAGAATTAAAGAGAGTAAGGTTTAGAGAAATACAACCAAGATTTATACTAGTTCACCCAAACCACAGGGCTACATCCAATTCTCAGCCAAATTCCAGCTGAGTTCCACTAGATTGAATGTTTTATAGATTACAATTTTGAATCACACAACACTCAATCTACCCCAAGAACCTAATTTCAGTTCTTGCACCTAAACCTTCACCCAAGAACCCAGTTCTAGTTCTTGTACCAACCTGCAGCCAAATTCCAGCTAAAGAACTAGTGCCCAATAATTCCAGACACTCACAATACAATAAAGAAATTGAAAAGAACAAAGAGAAGAAACTAGAACAATCAAACCTAGATTATTCATCTCTTGCATCAAACACTACTAGAAAAATGGTTAATAGTGACCGAAAAATTTAGTCACTGATAGTAACTGAATCAGTGACTGATTTCTCTTTTTATATTTAGTGACTGATTTAGTGACCAAATTTTCAGATCACGAAACAAATAATTTTTAAATTGATGATTATTTTTCATTTATATAAATATTTATTAAAAATATTTTAATAATATATTAAATATAAATCTACTTAATAACTTAAAAAAATTGATAACATTTTTAATAACATTATAAATATTTTAAAAAATAGTTTAGTAACTTATTAGACATATTAAATAATTTAGTAATATAATTATTTGATTTTATTTTTTAATTTAGCATGTGAATAAAAAAATAAAATTAATTATTAAATTAGTCACTCGAATAATCGATCATCTGAATCGGTCACTAAATCGATCATCGAATCCATCATTAAATTAATTATTTATTTGATCTCTTTTATATATATATATATATATATATATATATATATATATTATTTGTATGTTAATAAAAATGTATTTTAATGTATTTATAAAAAAAATTAAAATTAGTTTAATTACTGAATTGATATTTTAAATTTATATTTCAAATATTTCAAAATTAAATTTATAATAATAATTGCATAAAATTATAGAATTAATAAAATTTAAATTTCTGGTAATTCTTTTAATTATTAAGCTAAAATTTGATAATATTAATAAATTAAAAATTAAAAGTAAATAAATGTATATATATCACTTTAATTATTTTAATTAAAATTAATTTAATGAAAAAACTAATATTTGAAAATATGTAAAAAATAAAAAAAAGATTTAAAAAAATAATCGAAAATTTTCCTTTTTTTCTTAATATTTTACTTTTAAAAAAAAAAAAACTATAAAAATTACTTTTCCAAAATAATAAGTAAATATATATATATATATATATATAATTAAAAAGAAAAAAAAATAATCGATTATATTTTACCCTAATTTTCTCTTGTGATCGCACATTTCCTCCTCACCCACGCAACTCTCTCCTTGACCATGTCCTCACTCACTTTGTTTCTCCCCCTCAACCTAGCCCAACCACCACCGAACCACCACACCACTGCAACCCGCAACCTCTACCCATACTTGCGTCTTCTCCATCACCCTCTAGCCTCAGTCGATGGCCTTTCACCCCCACTCAGACCCATCCTCGGCTCTATCACTCTCTCCAAGCTACGCTTCGTCCTCTATTGCAAGTGCCGACCACCATTGAAGCCCAGTGACCCTCCATCGAGTCTCCCTCACGGGCATCATACCGCCACTCATAGCCTTCGCGGTTGTGCAACCGTTGGTCATCTTTATAAGCCCTAACTGCGCCCCCCCCCCAACCCATGACCATTAGGAGTGTCGCGGGCCATTTCCTAGCCCTAATTGCAAGTCGTCGCGACGAATAAGCAACCTCAACCGCGGATCCTTCCCAATCGTGTCGCTGCTGCCGTGAGTGGCATCCTCAGAGTAGTGCCATCCCCTGATCGAAGGTGAGGTTGCGAGCCAACTTCCCTCGCTTGATTTATTCTCTGTTTCGACTTTATTCTTATATGGTATTACATTTTAGATTGAGGATTGTGTTTCTGATAGTTTAGTTTTGTTAATTTTGACTCTGCTTGTTGTTGTGGCTTTTGAATGGGGTCTGTCAAATGGTGGTTAGTAGTTCTGTTTTGGTTTTCTTTGTCTGAGTGTGGACAGGGATTCGCGTTTAGTCCTAGTAGTTGTTGGTCTGTGTCACTCTATTTGTTGAAGCAAGCCATGACCCCAAGGCTTGTTTGGATACACTTGCTTTGAGGAAGAGGGCGGACATGGAGTTTCCTAATCGAAATTTCACTGGCCTTAACATTAACTTGTCTTTAAGTTAAGAATCAAAGCTATCCACCGACCTTTACCTTCTATTCTTCTTCCATTTCAAAAATACATGCATTCATCTGTTCAACTTTTGGCTGATTTTTTACAATATCATATTCATGTAAAATCAAATTGCAATCAATCTCTTGTGGTAACGTTCTGGGGACATCAATCTGCTTGATATAATTTGGTATATGTATAATATTTAGCACGAACTCTGCATGATTTTTATGTGTATATATGTTTGAAGATGGAACAGAAGTTGGCTTCACAAGAAGATGGATCATCTCTGATATTTTATCTTCATTCTTGGTGTTGCAGATATCGGTAGAATCATAAAACTCAAGGAAAGATAATTGGAGCATCCTTCTGTGAAGGTAATGAATCTCTTAACCATTATCTTGTTACTGTTGTATTGTATATCTCAAAGGGTTAACTTTTTGTTTTATTAAATTTGAAAAATCTGTTATGATTCAGACTTCCTTTGACTTGGTCTCATGCAGATTTATAATTTTACACTTGGTTTAATATTATCTTTAATTTGGTATAAACTGATTTTAAAAAAACACTTTTTGTTATAAAAATTGTATTAGACGTTTTAATTGACTCGATTCTCTTTATCTTTTCTCTTTAAATTTGAGTTCTTTAGTTAATTTCTTCACAAGCTTGTCAGTTCTGTCATTCCCCTTTGTGGTGCAATTTGTAAACAAGTTTTTAAGGAGTGTAAATTTACACTTTCATATGTTTGTAAGTTCAAGATTATTCTGGAATTTGTGAGTTCATATATAATTGATGAAAGTTTCCATTTTTTACCTGGAGGACAACATTAATTACTGTGTTTAAATAGTCATTGTTTTGTGTGATTGGAAAAGGGTGTGTTAATGGAGCTATTAATGAAGGAAGGGGTGGGTTTGTTCTTTGAAAAAATTATTATGAGAAAAAAAAAGTAAAAGTGTAAAATGCTTTTTATGTTTGCTTGGGTTGATTGATATATAGTGGTTGAGATTAGGCAAATTTAGGTTCGATGTTTTGAAAAGGACAAAAAGTAATGAAAAAAGAAACTAAGTTCAAGATCATTTTCCATCTATGAAACTAGTTCAAGTTATTCTAATTCATATTCACTTAATTTACTTAATATATGATGAGATAAATTTACCATTTAGATAGAATATGATTAAGAGAACGCGTTAGAAAAATAGTTTATTATGTTCATTAATTGAGTATATATATAATTAATATATTGAAATAAGTAAATTTTTCAAAGAAAATAATTAATAGTAGAGAGTTATAAAATATTGTAATTTTAACAAAGTTATGCTCTCATGTACACTAGTTATTGTTAGCCTAACATATAATTAAAATAATTTTTATAGTTTTATTAAGATATTCATTTATTTATTCTTTTTTGTTTAATGTTGTACTAACCATATTTGAGTTTTTAGGGATAAAAAAAGATAATGTGATTTAGTGAAGACATAGAAGAAGAATTAATTTTATCATCAATTTTTATTGTGCACAAACAGTTTGGCCAAACAATAAACGGGAGAAGATAGATTTGTAATCTTTTAAAATATAAATTGAATATTTGTTGTATTTATTTAATTTTATTTTAATACATTTTTTATGTTTATTTTGAATTTTTAATATATAAAAGTCTAGTTATCATGTGGAGAATTGTCTAATTTTAATAATATTTAAATTAATTTTGGTGTGATCTATTTGTATCAAATATATATATATATATATATATATATATATATATATATATATATATATATCTTAATATAATATAATAACGTGTTTATTAAAAAAGAAAAATTTTAGTGATTAAATATAGTGATATTTTATTTTAAAATTAATTATTGAATCGGTTCTTGAATCGATTATTTGAATCGATCATTGAAATCGATGACCAAGAAAATAGTGATCGATTCAATTGACCGATATTTCGGTTACTTATTTTAGTTAGTGATCGATTTTGGTGATTTAGTGATCGAATTTTCGATCACTATTTAGTGTTTTTCTTATAGTGAAATTTCGTATTATTTAGTAAAAAGCTAAATAAAGAGGGGCAATCTATCGACATCAAATTTCGGTCAAATAGATATAAATATTAAAATAATAATAATAATAATAATAAATAGCAATGTTTACTTTCAAAATATGGAAAAAAAGGATTAAAAAGTATATAGTTCCATTTTTTTCTAAAAAGATAAGAAAATAAAATGATGATAAATAAATAAAGAAAAAAATATTTTATTTAATAGTTAAAAAGAAAAAAAGAAAAGGGTAAAAAAATAATATTTCATTTCTTTACTTTTCTATATTTCTTTGAAAAAAAGATGAATATTAAATATATATATATATATATATATATTATATATATATATATATATATATATTAAAAAAACAAAAAATAATGAAAATTAAAATATTCAATTCATTTCAATTTTTTTTTTCACATTTTTTGCCCAACCTATTTTGAATTGTATTCCCTAATTCTTTTTAACCTACTTTCAAGTTTAAAAGAGGAAGACGGAAGTCGGACACGGACCTGAATGGAATCATTCTTGGTTTTCCCCCACCAAGTTTTGGCCTCACCCTCTCCTTTCATCCTCTGCGTGGCAACCCATCAACTTAACCATCTCCCAGCATCCTTCACTCCACACTGCCACCTTAGGTCTCCACTCTCACCCATTTCACCTTCACCAATCACACGGGACCACGTTCTCCCCACCAAAAAACCTCACCCTTTTTCCCAACCTCTCCCCTACACCTGTGCCCCATCAATTCAACCTCCCAAACCCATCTCACTCTCTCCCTCATCCTTACATTTCTACTTTGCCAAACCATCCACAACACCTACACTTTCACCAAACCACCACTGTGAACCATCCGCGCCGCGCCACCAAACATCATCCCTAGCCCTCACTTTCCTGCCCACTAGCGTCTCCCTCAGCCACCTCATTCGACTCATCACATCACACATCTCCACCAAAGCCCAACAACCGATCATGAGTCACCTAGCCTCCACCACTGCGAACCCGCAAAGCTCCTCGTCAGAGTTGCGCCCAAACAACTCGCGCCACTGCGACTTCAACCCACAATCACCGTTATTCGAACCCCAAAACCATCATAGGCCACACTTTCCCGTGCACTGAGGCACTCGAGGTGGTTCGGAGTAGGGTCGTGGACCCATCCCTTTGAGTCTGGACTATTCTGCTTGGTTAAAGACTGATTATGTCTAGGTTTGGTTTATTTGCATATGAACTGTTGAACTGTTGGTTTTGTTGGTTGAATTGGGTTTTGGTTTGATTTTGGGTTTTGTACCATTATTTCCATTTAGTTTGGCTTGAACCTATGGTTTTCATTTGGTTCTGCTTGTGGGGTTGAGATTGGTGTTATCCAATCTTGTTGGCCTGGTTGATGTCGCTCGGGTCTGAGTTTTTAGTCGGCGGATGGGTTGAGACTATGTGTTTCCATGCTGGGGTTGTCCGGGTCTTGTGGGATTGATTGTATAGTTGGTTCTATTATTTTTTGTTTGGTTTCGTTCCTTTTATCGTTTGGTTTGTTCCTGGTGTTTCTATTACTCTCGTACTGTTCGAGTTTGGATTAGAGTTCGTATTGTTTAGGTTTGTTGTCATTGAATAGAGGTGCTTGGGTTCTGGTTTGATTTCTTTTGTTTGATTAGTTAATGTCGTTTTATGGTCACACTACTACAAATAAAGCTTTCAACGTCGATTCTGGAAGACTTTCAACGTCGGTTGTTGAGCCGAGCGTTGTATCGGCGATGTTGAAAGTTGTAACTTTCAACGTCGGTTCTAATAAGCCGAGCGTTGAAAGTATGATTTTTTAAATTAATAATTTTTATTTATTTACAAAATATTTTTATTAGGTCCTCCATCTCTTTATATTATATTTTTTAGAAGTTTATTAATTTTTTAAGAGAATTGTCATTGGCAGGATTGAACCAGATCTTTAGAGTTGGAGGTCGATACTCCAACCACTAAACTACTAAAATTTTACGATAATAACTTACAAATAAATTATATTTATATGCAAATAAATATATATCCGTGTAAATATATAAATACAAATATATTTATATATTTTGATATATTTATATAGTTATATATTTATATGTTGGATGTGAGGGCACACTCGAAAGTGAAAGTGTGTGTCGAGTGGGTTTTCAAAATTTGATTTTAAATTTGTGAGCATGTATCTTTATATGAGTTTGTAATTTAATGACAGAATATAATCTTTATAATTTTATTTATATAATGATATCAAATAAATTTGGGAAACGCGTTATTTTCTCTCAAGCAAAAAATACCAATTTTCGCTCAAGCGAGACTTGAGTAAGTGAATTTTCGTGAGCTTTAACATATTTTCACTCAAGCAAGAGTCAATCACACTTTCACTCTTGATCGAAAAATACCAATATAATTTATTTGTAAGTTATTATCAAAAAATTATAGTAGTTTAGTGGTTGGGATATTAACTTTCAACCCTAAAATACTGGGTTCAAATGCTATCAGTGACAATTCATTAACTTAAGAGAATTTTTGGTTGAAAATAAAAATAAAAATACTTTCAGAAAATATATACAAATAAATATATATTTACATGGATATATATTTATTTGTATATAAATATAATTTATTTGTAAGTTATTATCGAGAAAATTCTAGTAGGCTTAGTGGTTGGAGTATCGACCTCCAACTCTAAAATATCTGGGTTCGAATCCTGCCAATGACAATTTTCAAATTTAAGTGAGTTTTTGGGTGAAAAAAAAAGACTTTCCACGTCGGTTCATATGGGAACCGAGCGTGGAAAGTTTCAATAAGTAAAAAAATAAAAAAAAGACTTTCAACGTCGGTTCATCCGGGAACCGACGTGGAAAGTACTTTCTACGTCGTCTCGACTTATAACCGACGTTAAATGACGACGTAGAAAGTATATTTTGTAGTAGTGTCATCAAGGGTTACGTGGAATGGGGTTGTGGGCCTGTTCGGATTTTTATTCTATTATGTATCCTACTTTGTTAATTGATCTTCTTTTAAATCTTGATTGATTGACCTGTTGAATTGGACTATATATTATTGTTGTTTGAGTCATGTGATTGTGTTGTATTGTATTTAAGTCGGTGTGTTATGCATTCAAACATCTCTGTGTTTTGATTCAAGTGGTTACTAAAATATTGAAATTACCCACATTCAAAATCCGTTTACCATTATATTTTTATAGCTTTTAATTAAGTTGTTATTGTCAAGATTCGAATTTAGTACTTTAAAGTTAGAGGTTGATATTCCAACCACTAAATTATTAGAATTTTTCAATAATAATTTACAAATAATTTATATTTATATATTTATATATTTATTTTTTAAATTATTTAATTTAATAAATTATTATAAATTAATCTAATTATGATTAAATCAAATTATTAAATAAAAAAATATTTAATTTTTTAATTAGGTGAATAATTAATTTATTAGAATATATTAAGTAATTATTATATAATTTTACTGACGGATATATCTGTTGATAATTAATTGTTAATTTACCGATGGATTTACCGACGGATATATCCGTCGGTAAATAATTGTTAATTTATTGACGGATTTACCGATGGATATAGTCGTCGGTAATTAATTATTATTTTACTGACAGATATATCCGTCAGTAAGACCAAATTCTATATTCGTCGATAATTTTCGTCGGTAATGACTTATTTTCCGGCGGCCACAAATCTATCGATAAAAATACGTCGAAAATATGCGATTTTCTTGTAGCGTTATAGTTACTTGATGAGTCATTATATTCTTATATTTTATTCCCTTTACGAATTTATTTTAATTAGTGTTTTGGGCTTAACTTTCTATTATTAGTGAATTTTTATTAATTAGGTTTCATTGGACCAATAATTCAGATTTTAATTAATTTGAATCTATTGATTTAATTTTTGCTCATTATTATTTTTAGGACAATTTAAAACAATTTTGGGCCTAGAAGATTGGGTCAAATGTCATATTACAATTTAAAGCAATTTTGGGCTTGAAAAATTGGGTCAATTGTCATATTTTATTCAATATGGGTACTAACATTGGTTCACTGTTTTATTTATCATCTTTTCTAAAGAGCTTCAAAAATCATGATTCTGAAAGCATTATAAACTAGACACATTAAGCTTTCTAGAGGATCCAGAATCATTCAATTCGGAGCTAAATTGAATTTTACATAAATTATCCAAAATGGGTCAAGCACACCAGGCCGACCCAATGGACATGCTTCAGTAATTTAAGTATCCTAAATTCATTAGACCTCCAAAAATAGTAGAAATGGTGGTGTTTTAAAGCTTACTCAAAAGTATTTCAAAGGAGACTAGACTCGCTTAATTTGAATAAGTATTGAAAATACTTCACGTGTTTGAAGTTCACGGACCTGCATTGAAGCCAACTTATGATGTGTTTTGTGGACCAGTTGGGCCCAAACCTAGATTACGATTAGGGTTAGGGTTATTTGTATAAGGGAGATGTAGCGTTGAGAGGGAAACACACCACATAGCAGCCACGCAACCGCCTTTCATCTTCTACAATTTATATTCAAGTTTGTTTACTCTTTTGTCATTGTTTTAAATTCTTATTTCGATTTTAATTATGTCTCTTCTTCTGCATTTTCGATTTTTCATGGATAGCTAAATCTTTGTATTGATTTTCTGAGGAGAATGCAAGTAGATCTTTGAGGGTTTTTTTTCAATTTTGTTTTGTTTGTTCTCTTAACTCTTCATCTTCTAATCTCAGTGTTGAAGGATAATATGTTTATGCTTAATAAACTAAAATTAATATCACAGTTTGCTTAATTTTGTGTTGGAGATGAGATTATGTGATGTATGCAATGCTTTATTGTATAAGGATAATTTGGGGTTAATCTTCGATTAGTTGGTTAATTTTATGTTGGAATAAGGGTTAAGGAAAATTTGAGATTAATCTTTGCTTAGTTGGTTAATTTCATATTGGAATAAGAGTTAAAGCTAATTTGGGATTAATCTTCGCTTAGTTGATTAATTTTGGATTGGAATATAATTTGGGATTTATCTTCGCTTAGTTGGTTAATTTCAAATTAATTTCGTAACCTAGGATAAGTGACACTGCATTCGAATCAGGAAATCAATTGCTTTCTCATTATTTTATTCAAATTCTATTTTCTTTAATTTATTGTTTATTATTATTATGCAACCCCTTTTTTTGTTGTTTAATCTGCATACTCGTGTAAGAACATTGGTTTGATATGTATTTCGTTGGGAGACGACCTAGGAAAGCTTCCTAGTACTACATTTATCTGTTTTAATTATTTAACCGAGTACGACATTGATCAAATTTTGCGTCGTTGCTTGAGGAATTTGCAATTCCAACCAAGGTTCCGACACTAGTCTTAATTTCTCTTATTCAAACCCCTATAAGCGGTGCGTTGGAAAGAGTTTTTACCATAAGTATATAATTGGGTTCTTATTTGAATATTTATTTTATTTTCAGTTATTTGAATATTTCATTTTTATTACATTTATTTGATTATTTTATTTTCAATTATTTGAATATTTTATTTGATTTGTTGTTTAATTTAGCATTCGTACTTCTCTCAATATTATTTTGATAACTCACTTGTTGGGTTCTTTAAAAAAAAACTCTTTTGAAAAAAAATTCAAATTTTTTAGCTTTATAAAAAAAAAACAAATTTCAAAATTCAATTTTTTTTAATTTTTTTTCTACCTTTATTAAAAAAAATTATAATTTGTTCTTGTGTGTTTCCTAACCATTCTTGCAGGAATTTTTTTGATAAGTCATCATTGAAAGAAAATATTTGAAAACCATTCTCATAGGAAACTCTAGATATATCTTGGTAGTGTGAGAGTGCATGTCTAGGAGGATTCTGACTAGGAAATACTTGGTACTTAAGTGTGTCCATTAGTGACCCGTCTATCTTTCCTGGGAACCTACCTGGTGTACTTGTTTATAGTCTACCGTTGCCATTCCAGTTCTTCTGATAATTTCCAAATTGATAACATGGGTGATCAACCTATTGGACCTCGTGAGAGAACACTTAGGGAGCTTGCTGCTCCCGAATTCACATATGATAGCTTATGTATCAAGTATCCTAA